AGAGTCTGGTATATCAACTTTTCACAGGAAATTTACTGTTTAATGCCACACTCACATGGAAGATAAGTATATGTCAAAACAATAGTTACAGTTATTAATACATAAATCTGAACCTCTTAAGAGATCTGAAAATTAAAAAAAAAAACACATTTATCTCAAACACAGAGTTATATATAGAGGGAGAGACAGACAAAGAGGGTAAGAGAGCTTTTATCTGTTGGTTCACTCCCCAAATCACTGCAGCAGTAGGATCTGGACCAGGCTGAAGCCAGGATCCGAGACCTTCACCTGGGTCTAACGTGTGGGTGGTGAGCGTTCAAGCACTTGAGCCATCTCCCGCTGCCTTCCCACCTTCGTTAGCAGGGAACACGGTCAGAGTGAGACAGCTGGAACTTAAACTAGTGATCCAGTGTGGGACCCTAAAAGTTGGCATCTTGGCTCACTGCATTGTCATGTTAGCCCTGAAAAATAATTTATTATAAAATTTGACATCAACTTTTGATAAAAATTTAAGATTTCCCATGTTGAAATCCATTATAACATGAATATGCTACCAAGTATGTATTTTTGTCCCTCTCTTTTTCATTCGGCCTTTAAAATAAATAATCCTTAAAAAATCACATAGGACCCGGTGCCATGGCCTACCTGCTAAAGTCCTTACCTTGAATGTGCCAGGCTCCCATATGGGTGCCAGTTCTAACCCCGGCAGCCCCACTTCCTATCCAGCTCCCTTCTTGGAGTCTGGGAAAGCAGTTGAAGATGGCCCAAAGCTTGGGACCCTGCCCCCACGTGGGAGACCTGGAAGAAGCTCTTGGCTCCTGGCTTCGGATCAGCGTAGCACCGGCCGTTGTGGTCACTTGGCGATTGAATCATAGGATGGAGAGATGATTTTTCTCTCTGTCTTTCCTCCTCTCTGCATATCTGCCTTTCCAAAAATAAATAAATAAATTAAATAAAATCTTTAAAAAAAATAAATAAATTGAAAAAATAAAAAATCACATATATCGTATGGTGGTGGTAGAGCAGAGTCGCAGTAAAAGAGCTCAGTTCTAGATGTGTTGAGTAGAAGGGTGAACCAAAGTGTGAAGTCTTTATTAACAAGCTGTATCATGTGGATTGCCCTTCCCAACAATGTGTCTGAGGAGTGAAAGACTTGTAGGGGCAGGAGGTTTTTCCTACTGGTTGATGGGGAGACTGTCAGGGCTTTTGTTCACAGTGGGCACCACACCTCTCAGCAGGTGGAGCCGATGACGTTGTCTAATGGGTGACTCCAGAGTCCACAAGTCTGTGTTAATTTTGGAAGAACACATTCAAACCACAGCACAAGTGAAAAGAGAAGGGAATGACAGATTGTAGAGAATGGTAAATGAAGTGTGAGTAATGAAAGACCACCAAAGAATGATACAATGTAGCTTGATTTCAAAATTGGGGTATTTCTGGATGAGAACAGGGTGTAGTTTAGGTGAAGTAGATACGCATGTCCATTGTAGTTAAGAAGTTGAGGAATTTAAGACTAGTGTCTGAGATAGTGATCAAAGAGGACACTGAAAACAATCCAGGAAATGGAGTGTGAAGAAGGCGCCGCCCCTCTCAAGGTGACTTAAAGCAATAATTGCTGCAAGAGAGGCTCAGCAGAGGAGGAGAAGGGTCAAAGATTGGCTGTATGCTTTTATTCCTTTCCAATGGACTTCCTGCATAAACGATACTGTCTGAAATTTTGTAAAGATTAGTAGGTTATACAATCTTGGTTGCTGTTACAAAGGTGCTTACAGAACACAGGAATCACTCGAAAGGGCCTTTCTGTCCACTTATCCACATAATTCTGTTCTCAGTTTAATGACAGGTGGAACAGTATTGAACAAAGCCACCTGTGCTGTATCTTGAGCCTTTTAATTATACTGTTCTTAGCAGTAAATGCTCTAGATAACAGACCGATTTCATCACAACTCCATGAATTCAGAAATTGCTTTGGTTCTTAAACTTTTCCTTCAGTTGAAGTTATAACATTTTTTTAAAAAGTGTGTCTTATTTGAAAGGTAGAGATAGAAAAGACGCAGATAGGTAGATAAGGCGGGAAGGAAGGAGGTAGTGAGAATGTGTTTGCTTACTCCTCCAAGCCTACATCACCTAGGGCTCGACCTGGCTAAGGCCAGGAACCAGGAATTCAATCCAGGTGTCTCACAAGGTCAGGGACCCAATTACTTGCCGTTGCCTGCTGCCTCCAGGGGCCTGCCATAACACGAAGCTGGAATTGGGAGGGAACCCAGAACCTGAACCCAGGCACTCCAGCATGGGGTGCGCACCTCACAGGAAGTATTTTAACCACTCTTGTCACATGCCCACTGCAGGTTAGGGTTCTTCATACGTAGTTTGTGCTTGGTTATTGAATGTGAGGATGGGAGAGACTGTCACAGAGTTCCATGGGCTGTGCTTAGAAAATTCATGTCTCCGCCTCTGAAGGCATCTGTGCACATGGGGCAATGGTGATAGCTGACTTTAATACAGAGCTCATTATATGTCAAAACCACGGCTAAATCCGTCATAGTCCTTGACTCAATTCATGCCTCAACGTGAGGCAGGTGTCAGCATTAAGGATTATTAAATAAATAGTCCAGTCTCACAGCCACACATGGTGGGATTAGAAACTGAGCGCTGAAATTCTGTAACTGCAAGTTCTGTGGTTAAATGCATGTGCTACTTGGTGGGGGAAGAGGGCAGTAGGCTGGATGGGGACATTGAAGAAGCAGTCTTGGGTATCCTTGACTCGGGTTTGTTTATCCAGCCAGCACGGTGGGAGTCTAGAGGAGCTGCTCAGTGTCTGATGCCTGTTTCCCCGACACAACCCCCCACATCACATTGGGGGACTTTTCTTTGGAGTTGTTCTGGGCATGTCTTGGCTAGAGGAAAAGATTATCTTGTTTGCCCAGAGGCCTTTTCCTTTACTTAATCCTAGCTATACCCCTGTTTCACTGGAATTACAGACAGAATCTTCAAAAGCTGAAGCCAGATTTATTTAGAATGAGCTAGTGGACTTCCAGAGATGTTACACAACCCCACAAATTAAAAAAAAAAAAAAATTAATTGCTTACATGGGTAAATTTTACAGTATGCGACTTAAATCTCAACGTTACCAGAATGTATAGACTTAAGATCTTCACTGTTTGAAAAGATTTCAAATGGATTCCTTACTGATGTGACATTGTCACACAGGGAGGGGCGCCTGGGCCTCACTTAGCGAGTCCAGCTTTGTGTTGGCCGAAGGGCTGAGAGGTCAGGCCCCCAGTTCTTGGCAGATGAAAGACGCAAAGTGAAGTGATGATATTCTGTGTTCAAGTTTCCAGTGACTGAGTTGCCACACTAAGTACTGCAAAAAGTTATAAATTTTCACTTAAAATGTCTTGAGAAAAGCAGAGTGAAGGCCCAGCACAATGACTTAATTGTCTACTCCTCTCCTTGCAAGCACCAGTTTGTGTTTTGGCTGCCACACTTCCAATTCAGCTCCCTGCTTATGGCCTAGGGAAGCAATGGAGGGTGCACCTGTGTGGGACACCCAGAAGAAGCTCCTGTTTTCAGATTGGCTCAGTTTTGACCGTTGTGGCCATTTAGGGAATGAACCAGCCAGTGGAAGATCTTTCTCCTGCTCTCTGTAAATCTGTCTTCCCAATAAAAATAAGTAAGTCCAGAAAGGAAGTTAGAAATAAAGCAGAGTTAGAAAGGGAGGAAATGACGGTTAGAGAGGTTTTCCATCAGCTGGTTCAACACCTCAAATGGCCAATAGCTGGGGCTCGACCCAAGACCAAGGGCTTCATCCAGTTGTCCAAGCAATTGGGCCTTTTTCTGCTTTGCTAGGCACACTGGCAGGAGGCTGGCATGGGAGTGGAGCCAGCCAGGGCTGCAAGAGGTGTTCACATAGGAGGCTCACCCTGTGATGTACCCATCCACTCCTTCTTTTTTTAAGATTCATTTGAAAGTGCTGGGGAGGACAGGGAAGGGTGGAGGAGAGGAGCATGCTTCCATTTGCTGGCTGCAATGGCAGAGCCAGACAGGAAGGAACCAGCTTCAACCGGGTGTCTCTAGATGCAGGGGCCCCAACACGGGGCCACTTTCTGTCGTTTTCCCAGGTCATTAACAGAGTTGGATGGGAGGTGAAGCAGCTGGGCCACCAAGCAGCAGCCATGTGGGATGCACCCTACATGGGTGCGGGCTGGGTTTTTACCCCCTTTGCCATAATACTGGTCCCTGATTTTCACTTTTTTTAAAAAAAAGAAATGCTTTTGTTACTTAGTAAAATACATTCACAGAACTTCACACTCAGCTTCAACCACTTATTTGTCAGCTTTTATCCCTTTCAAGTGCACTTATGCATGCTGGAATAAGGAAAAATTTTTGAAAAAATCAAGTTACGCACCCCTCCCCCCAAAGGATCTTTACTAAAATCGGTGCCTATTAATGTTATCTATTTTTAAGCTCAATTATGCGCAAGAGAGCATTCCGCCAGGGTGGGGGGGGGTGTAAACGGATTTCCACCTCTTCCAGCTCTTTGGGCCTTGGCTGGTTCGGTAGGTGCAGGCGAGCGCGGGAGGACTTTCTGCACCGCTCCGGCCGCGCTCCGTGCAGACCGGCGTTCCGACCCGCCTGGAGCTGCGGGAGCTCGGGTCGGGGCCGCGGGGGCAGGGCGAGCTGGTCACGTGCGCCGGCGCAGGCCGGAGTCTGCAGGAATGTGGTAACTTGGCCGGGGAAAGTTTTCCTCAGCGGGCGGGCGGCCGGCCGAAGATTCAGTGCGGGCGGGCGCGCAGAGGAAGGAAGAGCCGGGAGGAGGCGGAGCCGGCCAGAGGCTCGGGCGGGCGCTTCTCTCAACTTTAGTTTTGGCGTCTGAGGCGAGTTTCCGTCTCAGTCGGGCGCAGCCGCCGCCGGGGGAAAAGAAAGAGAGGAAGGAAGGAACAAGAAAAGGAAATAAAAGAGAAAGGGGGGAGGGGAAAGGCAAGCTAGCTGTCCGGCCTCCGTCAAGGGAGTTGAAGGGAGAGAGGAGGGGAAAAAAAAGTTCTGAGGCGCCGCAGGTCCGAGTTTCTGGCAGCCCCTCCCGAGGCGCCGCCGCCAGACCAGCGGAGCCCGGGCGCAGGGCGGGGGCGGAGGCGCCGAGGCGGGGGATGCGGGGCCACGGCGCAGCCCCCCGGCCCTGAGAGCGAGGACAGCGTCGCTCCCGCCGCGCAGCGCCGCCCAGCCCGCCGCACTCGTCGCTTCTCCCGTCTCGGCCCGTGGAGCCGGGGCGTCCCGGCGGAGCCCTCGCCCGCCTGGTCAGGGGGTGCGCGTTGGGGGAGGCAGCAGCCATGGATCCCGCGCAGCAGCAGCCGCCGCCTCAGCCGGCTCCCCAGGGCCAAGGGCAGCCGCCCGCGCAGCCCCCTCAGGGGCAAGGCCCGTCGTCCGGGCCCGGACAGCCGGCACCCCAAGCGTCCCAGGCGGCGCCCCAGGCCCCTCCGGCGGGGCACCAGATCGTGCACGTCCGGGGGGACTCGGAGACCGACCTGGAGGCACTCTTCAACGCGGTCATGAACCCCAAGACGGCCAACGTGCCCCAGACGGTGCCCATGAGGCTCCGGAAGCTGCCCGATTCCTTCTTCAAGCCTCCGGAGCCCAAATCGCACTCCCGACAGGTAACCTCGCCTCTTGCCCCTCTCCCCGTCGGGCGGGCCCCGGGACTGGGGGGGCGCTCGGGAGCCGCGGCCGCGGGCTCTGCCCAGGGGAGGGGGTCCCGGGAGCCCGACGGGCGTGGGGGGTCTGGCGGCGAAGGGGAGGACCCGGGGACGCCCGCCGGGCCGCGGCTCTCGGCTCCCCCAGTGCTCCGGGAGTCCGGGGCCGAGATTTGCTTTTCCCCTGGGAGTTGGTCTCTGCGGCTGCAGCCGCGGGAGTGTGTGTGTGCGCGGGGGGGGGGGCAAGCTTCTCCCCTCCTCCCACCCCCTTCTTCCTTTTTCTTTCTTTCTTTCTTCCCGGGGCTCCCGGGAGGTTGGCGGGAGTGGTCGGGAGGTGGGGAGGCAGGAAGGGGGTGGGGAGCCGGCCGGGCCGCGGTGGGCTTGCACAATGCGCGCGCCGCCGCGCTCCGCACCTTCGCTGGCGCGGCGGCCGGGGGGAGGGGGCGCTCTGGCATGTGCGTGGGGGGAGTCGCCCGCGGCCGCCGGCTGGGTGAAGTGGAGCCCCGGGCCCCCCCTTTTTCCTCCCCGGGGGCCCCTCGGTCCACTTCAGTCTCCTGGGGAGTCAAATAATTGTTCTCTTGTTTTCCAGTGTTGATTAGGGGTGGGGGTTGAACCGGTCCATTTAGTTTGCTTGCTCTTTCTCCCCCCACCTCCTCCCGCTCCCTCTATTCTCCCCCCTCCCCACCCCCTTGCATTTATTTTCCTCGCGGCCCAGGCGCTTTCAGAGTCCAGGGCTCTGGCTGCCCCTGCCCACACTTTCCTGGAAGTTGTTTATGAGTCCTTTCAACTGTGCGCCTGCCTTGCGCCTTGGAACTCGGGCAGGCTCGCGCTTATCAAACTTGGTAGTTTCACGTGTTGGTTTCCCAATTGCAGCCTATTATTTACAGTCTACTGAAATGCTTTGAAACTAGCCACATCTGTACGTTGCGCAGGAACTGAGTTGCGCTTTACAGTACCGAGGGTTTAACACACAGCCTTTGATAATACACTGCAGGTTGACTCATAGGCCGAGTCCTGCCTACTTCAACTGTGATTAAAAGTTAATGTTTGGGAAGCGATGACTAATTCTACGATCGCCATTGCTTTTTAATGCTTATTGTGGATATGAACATGGCTGCTTTTCTACGCACACGACGTTCGATTACTTTGCCAGCTTGATTCATCATTGAAGTGAAACTGTTAACGAGTTCGCGTTCCGATAGATCCCAGCAGATTTGTCTCCTGTAGCATTCTCCCCCACCCACCCACCCCTTTCTCCCGCGACGGCCCCCTCGCCCCCCCAACTTGCTTCAGGCTAAACTTCAGCATCGGAAGTTTGCCCAAATGGCTAATTGGTTTTCCAAATGCTGCGACGTAGTTAGCCTACTTGAGCTTTGAGTTGAGTGAGGGGGAAGAGTTGCCGTCCCACTCCCGTTGCCCTTCCTACTTGCAGGCCTGTTGTGTTTTCTGGTGTCGCAACTCAGGGATTTGGGAACTCAGGAAAGCTCATTAAGTGTGATGGCACAAACCGGGCTTAAGGAGGAGGAGGGAACTTTGTAGCTGCTTGGTTTAAACGCGTCGGTTTCTAAGAGGGAGATCTGGGTGTGCTTTTTTCCTCGGACCCCTGGGAGTAGGTTTCTGGAATCATTGTGGGTGGTAGGTGAATGGCCGCACAGCTGTGCTGCTAGCCGATAATACACTCGGGAGATGAAACTTCCCACCTTGCGGCACCTATAAACCATAAAGAAAAAGGACTGAAAAATATCTCTTTAATAAGCAGATACACGTGACTTTATGTTCAACACTTTATGGATGCATGGTAATCACAGTTTACCTTTGTTTTTAATGTTCTTAACTGATTTCTGCCTTTGAGTTTAACTTTTGTGTCTGCTAAAGGTTTGCTCACTCAGACTTTGGAAACTCGGCAGTACATACTTTCTTTAATCGATGCTGATTTCTTCTACTTTTCCTGTATAAATCGGCAAATTCTGGCTTTGATTATCAGCCTAATTCTAATAAAGAAATTTGAAAGGACGCTCCTAGGTTGAGTAGCACGAATCTGTGTTTCTAAATATTGTTACCCAGAAACTGTTGAGTAAGTTATTCTTTTTCCCATTGTGTCTGTATGTGTGGATAGGCATTTTTTTTTTTCTGTTTTCAAAAAGGTGCGTTTAAAAATGAGAAAACCAAGGCTCATGGAGGTTGAGGCTCAGGATTACACTAGCCAGCTTGATTAGAACTCAGAACTGAGTGTAGATTTTTTAGTAATTGCAGAGTTTCTTAGATTATTTCGTAATTGAACTGATAACATCGTTATCTTCTAGGTCCATAGATACTGTTGCTTTCTCATTTCTCTCTGGATGGCTTTTAAGAACATTTAGACAAGTCTGAGTCACATTCACTAAAAGTTGTATAATTTGTGATTGCTTTATTGAAGGCATTTGTTCATAGAAAAAAAAAAGATAAGGAATTGGCCTGGGGGTTGGGGACACATTTAAAATGTAGTGAGACAGTTTTGTGGTTATTTTTTGGTTGTGTCTATAACTGGAATATTTTAGAATTTGGAAACACCACATTGCTTTGATCTTTTAAACATCTTAGAAGTTGTTATTTACGGGATATTTCTTGTTTTCTGCTCTGGTTGTCTCTGAAAGAAATGGAAGATATGGTCAGTACAGGTGTAGTAGGTAGAAATTCATTTTGATGGACTGCGCATTGATAAAATGACAAACCTTTATGAAAGTACATATTAGCATAGCACAGGTTGAAAGGATACATTTGAAAACCTCCACTAAATATCAAGTATTGTTCAAGTTTGGCTTGGCACTCAGATATTTGGTTATAATGAAATTCCAGCTAAACAGTTTGAAGGGACTGGAAAAAGTTTTTTTTTTTTTTTTTTAACTTTACTTTTTGCTGTTCTCCATAGGCTAGTACTGATGCTGGCACAGCCGGAGTCCTGACGCCGCAGCATGTCCGAGCTCATTCGTCCCCGGCTTCCCTGCAGTTAGGAGCTGTGACCCCCGGGACACTGACCCCCACGGGAGTGGTCTCTGGCCCAGCAGCAACACCCACGGCTCAACATCTTCAGCAGTCTTCTTTTGAAATACCTGATGATGTTCCTCTGCCAGCAGGCTGGGAGATGGCAAAGACTTCTTCTGGTCAGAGATACTTCTTAAAGTAAGTGACAATAGCCATGAGAGGTGGTTGGGTGTTGGAAAATTAGAGAAAAGTTGTGTCAGGACATAGCGTTTAGTTTTGTATTGTAGTTAATATTTGTGTCACCATCAGTTGTCTCTTCCATGGTTTCTTGAGGATTCGGTTTGTTATAAAATTACCAGCTATCTAAATACACCCCCCACAATTTTTTCAACACTATGGATGTTGTTTTGAAGGCTGGATTTATTTTTGGTTCAGTCTTTTCACTGTCTTTTGTGACAATTTAGATATCCTCATTTTGAGTTTATGCCAGACTTTGTAGCATAGCCAGAAACCAGCAATACTATGAAAATCTCCAAATTTAAAACATTATAGGAATAGTGAAATATATACAATGCTAATTAAAAAAAATTGTTTTAATTGGTGGAGATTAACTCCAAAACAGGACTTCCTTGAAAACCTGATTTTATATTATTTTAAATTATGACATTTCAAAAAATTCTGCTGTGACTTGGTGTGATTTATCAGTTTTCTTCTCTCAAAATGTAGGGAAAAATATTTTAAGCTTTAGTACACAACTAATAAACTTCTTTTTGGAGTTATCAGGTCTTCCATACAGACTTCTTTTCTCTGGGAAAAAACAAGAAGAAAAAATTTTATCAGCTTTTTTGTCTTTACCAGAACTGCCTGAAGCTGAAAAAGCGTACTTCAAATTTTAACCTCTCTAATTTTGAAGTCACAGATGAGACCTTATTTTTATCTGACTTGTTTGGATCACGTGTATACAAACTGTTATCTAAAACTAATTATAAATTGAAATTGATCTTTAAAACTATTTTAGAATGTAATCAAGTTGAGATACCAAAGTGAAAAATCTAGATTTTGATTGATATGTCTTGACAATCTAAGGCAAATGGAACATGTTAGATAACGCAATAATTGGCAGCTTTGTGGTATGAGTGTCAGTATGTGTTTATCATGATTTTCTTTTGAGATGGGTTCTAATGTAAGTTGAAAGTTTTGTGACAGGAGAAGAACAAGGGAAAAGTTCCTACTATTCTCTGCCTCTTTCTGCAACTTTTTCTTCTTTAAAAATTCTTTTTCTGCTGTCCTGGTATCCATTTCAAAGGGTCAGGTTTCAACCAGAACAATAAGGGGCCTGAGACTGGACAGCACACATGAGTCTGGCAGACTCTTCTGCATGAGCAAGATCATTTGTTCTCAAGCAGACATCCAAAGTAAATGATTGAAAGAGCTGCTAGCTGTGAGGGATGTGTCTTCAGGAGGAAAAGAGTGGAAACAAACCAGGTTGTTAAGAAAAAGAAAGACTCTACTTTTTTGAACCTCTCCCTGCTGGGTCCCATGCTGACCTGGGGAGGGGGAGGTTTTGAACAGCTTAATAGCCTGCTTGCCTTCTTTCTTTGGTTGATGCTTCGGCTGAAAGTATAAGGTGAAGGAGCAACACTGTGTTCTTCTTAGTCTCTTAAAATAATTGCTTGTAGGTGAGTTCTGCTTACCTTTCTGTTTTCTTGAATGGATAGTTTTCTGAGGTTGGATATTATGTATTTTGTGGGCAGTGCTTGCTTTGCACACTTGGAATGATTTACAAAATGTAAATTTCCTTGAGAAATCTTAAAGAATATTGATGTATGAAAACAGATGGGTTGGTGAAGAGTCTGTAGTGTCTACCGTAGGAGGATAAGCCAGACCAAAAGAACAATTTTGCCATATGAGGATAAGTTATGAAAGTGAAGGAGAGAGACTTCTAAAAGAAGAAACTGCAAAGAGGAGAGTTAAAATGTGGTTGTCCATTCACGGTTTTTTTGAGGGCCTCTCCCATGGGTCTGAGGTTAAGCTTACTGTATGATGAGGAACATGAGCTATTTTGCAAGCATTTCCTCATATCAGACTTTACAGAAATGGATGTTTTCCCAGAGAGGTAGATCTTGGTCAACAAAAGTGGATAACTTGGTACATATTAGCAGTGGAAGTGGAAAATGGTTACCGTGGCTTAGAATAGTTCACATGCTTCTACAGAGTATCTTCTTTAGGAACTTGATACAATTGGGAGGTGTGTGAAACTGTCAGTTCACTCTGAGTTATTAGCTGCAGCCATATTTTTGTGGGCTGTGCAGTTAAATGACTGACTTTTGTGTCCTGAGCAGATAGGCGAGATTATAATCTTTCCTGTGAGTCAATGATTAATGATAAGCTTTTGGTATCAGGTTACTATTGTTAAAGTTCATCTTTGTATTTGTTTTGATGCTTTAAAATTAGACTGGTTTCAATCAGTCCTTACGTTATTTTGGTGTTATGGTTGCTAGCCAGATGTAGGATGAAGATTGAAACTAATTGCACACACTGTACATTTGTCAGTAGTGGAAAGTTAAATGTTGATATATATATATATATATATATATATATATATATATATATATTCTTAGATTCTTTGGAATGAATTTTTAAGTTACAAAATATTTTGTTGAGATTTATATTGCACACAAAGTTCCCTGACAGTAAATGGTCCAAAATATGGAAGATAATATAATTTGAGAAAAAACTCAATGTTGACTTTTGAAATAATTAATTGCTACCTTGTGACCATAGATGAAGGAGTTCCTGAAGTCACTTGACTAATCCTCTGGTTACAAAGCAACATAATTACTTGAGAATTATAGTCAGGCAGTCATTGGTATTTTTAAAGTGCTTCCTAAGCCTTGGATCTTTGGAAAAAGACTTGTATCCTATCTTGGGAAGTGATATGGTGGAAATGTAATGTTTGCCACGTTTATCGGTGACACATTTACATTCTGGAAGGATTGGGAATGAAGTATGTCAAAAAGATTTAGTCATTTGTGTGCTACTAAGCTTCTGTTTACCATTTGAAGCTGATTTCTCCAACACAGTGCATTGAACTTGAAGAAGAATTCATTCTTTTTACAGCTCTCAGAATTATTGCTTTCTTTGGTTGTCTTAATGTAGTTTTCCTGCAGGAAATGGTTCTTCAAGTATTTGGTCAACAACTTCCTATTTCTTTATAAGCTACTGAATAACTTCCTGAATTAGTATTCTATAATATCTCTGGTTACAAAGGAGTGTTTTACTTCTCAGATTTATTTTATTGAATCTGATACCTTGTAACTATTACCTGTACAGAGAACTTGTTAATATAAAACATACCATTTAAGATCTTATAGTATGATTTAAGGAATTTGCTGCAGTGATTTTTAGAAGTGTACAATTTTGTGTTGTAATAGTGTCCTGCAAGTAACTTTTGAGAAAGACTTTTCTTCAATTTCCATCATTTACAATGTTTGAGTCACAAGCCACAGTGATTTTAGCCCTTCAAGAGTCAAGGTTTCATGTGGCTGTGATTTGATTAAAAGTTGTAGTGGTCGGAAGTTATAAATGTTATCTTGATCTGTAGTTCAAGAAGGTACTGTTCTCAGAAATTTTTTGATATTACGCAGAGGGTAACTTAGTCATGTTGCAACATTAAGTTTAACTTACCCTGTAGATATTGTTGGTCACCATAAAACAGTTAATTGTTTTTGTGCTGCCTGGTCCTTTGGAAATCAGTGTTCATTGCTCCAATTCATACTAGCTGAGAAATGTACCAAGGAAAAGACAAGAATTAATCTGTTTCTTGTTTTAAAATTGATCTTAAACTCCCACTTACCCAGAAGAATAGAAACACATACAATGAGTATTTTTGCTGCAATACGATTATATGTTTCAAAAGCAGGCAGTTTCATAAAGAATAAAGCTATGCTTTTTTTTTTTGGTATTATGGATAACGAAAATTATTTTCTTTAAAAAAATGACAAGATTATAATTCTGCCATCAGTTGTTGTTTATGAAGCACATGCGTATGTGTGTTCACGTGCCTACACACACACACACACACACACACACACACACACACACACACACACACACACACTGACTAAACAGTTCAAGTTACTAAGTATTTCCCTATTTGAGGGGAGGGCCAGTGGCTACCTGTTTGTCTTGCTGTTGAGGCTGAGTGGTGAGATGAAAGTACACCCCCAGCTCTTAGAAAAAGGGCTGGCTTCTGCTCAGTGGGTGGCCATCCTCAGGCAAGAATGGCCATCAGTGCCTTGGTGGGTGAGGGAGAAGAACTCCAGGGGGAATGTATTCAGCAGTGGCAAAATAAGAAAACATTCAAAGATGGTGAAATGCAGAGAAAGTAACACATAAAGCTCAAATTATTCCCTGAGAAAAATATTGAGTATTTTTAGTGGGAACTTTTAAGAAAGGATTTTTTAATTTAGAAAAATAGATGTTAAATGGATCAAATTCAGTTAACTGCAAGGTGGTGGGCTGATTTTTTTCTGAAATATAATGTTCAAAAATACCCCTTCCTCCAAACACTCTTATGTTAACCATTTAAATCAACTTGATCGTATTTGAATATTTAAAACATAAAAAAAATTTGGAACTCTGAGATAAACTCTTGATATTGTAGAAAATTGTGTTTTTACTTTCTGCAGTTTAAAATAGTAATGTTGTGTACCTTATGGCTTTTGGAACCTAGCCTGTTAGTTGCCAACATGTGTGTTGAAGTTTAGGCTTAGGACAAGTCAAAGTGCAGTCATTTAAAAAAATCAGTTAAAATTTAGGGTTGCTCAAACTTAATTTGCTGCCTTGTGTGATAGCATAATGTAGCCATTAATTATGGCTTGAGAGTTTAATAATAGTTGAGTAGCATTGTGTAAAGGGAGGTCTTAAAAGACTTGTTTGGTTCTATAACCGTGGTTACTAAGTGACGCAGTTCTTCCCAAAAGGGCTTCTGATTCCAGGGTTAATCAGAACTTCAGGTCCTGAAAGGGGCATTGCTGTCTCTATGAAGAATTGTTTCATGGTTCTGGTTGTTCAAGTACTGTAGCACTGAGTTCCTGGGAACAAGTACTGCCACCAAAGAAGCACTTGGTATTTATTTTGAACTTGACTCCTTCTAAAAGCAAACAAAGAAGTTTAATGTAAACCACAGTAATCCT